CCCACCCGCCGCTCCACCAGCGAGTAGGACACGCGCGCGTTCTCCTGCGCGTCCGCGTCGCGCGCGCACACCGTCAAGATCGGGGAGCCCGGCGGGTTGTTCTCCTTCACGAACACCGTGTACTCGGCCTGCGCGAACACCGGCGCGTTGTCGTTCACGTCGGCCACCTCCACGGACACGGTGGCCGTGGTCCACAGCGAGGGCGAGCCCCCGTCCCTGGCAGTCACCACCACCTCGTAGTCAGAGGCGCTCTCCCGGTCCAGGGCGCTGTCCAGCACCAGGGAATAGTAGTTCTTGAAGGTGGACACCAGCTTGAAGGGGACGTGGGGTGTCAGCGAGCAGGTCACCTCCCCGTTGACACCCGAGTCGCGGTCGGACACGCTGATCAGGGCGATGACTCTTCCAATTTGGGCGTCCTCTTCCACAGGCAAGGACAAAGACGTCAGTGTAATCTTCGGAACGTTATCATTTTCATCCAGAACTTGCACTATAACGGTGCAATGACCTGCCATGGGAGGGTGGCCTTTGTCCGTGGCGTCTACGCGGATTTTGTATAAATTCACTTGTTCAAAATCCAAATCCCCTCGAATCACGATTTCTCCAGTGCTGGGATCTATGCTAAACCTGTCCATAACGAGGGGTAGAACGAGGCTATTAAAAGAATATGAGATTGCCGCGTTCGTTCCTGCGTCCCGATCAGAAGCACTCAGTCTTATAACTGTTGTTCCGACGTCTGAGTTTTCGAATATCCTCACTTCGTACTCGGGCTGGTCGAAAGCAGGAGCATGATCGTTCACGTCCAGCACAGTGATCAGCAGCTGAACAGAACCCGTGAGCTCAGGTTTGCCTCCATCGGTGGCCGTCAGGAGTAAGTTATGTTTCGGAGCCTCCTCTCTGTCCAAAGATTTTCTTAATACGAGCTCGATCTGTTTATTGTCATAATTGTTTGTTTTCACATCTAACCCAAAGTATTCATTGGAACTGAGTTTATAGGTTAAAATAGAATTTGACCCAACATCTGCATCTGATGCGCCCTCTAGTGGAATAAGAGAATGTTGCAGCCTAGATTCATAAATCAGCAGTCTTTGTTCCTTTTTGGAACTGAGTTTATAGGTTAAAATAGAATTTGACCCAACATCTGCATCTGATGCGCCCTCTAGCGGTAATCGAGAATCTAGCATTCTGGATTCTGAAACAAACAGCTTTTGTTCCTTTCCTGGGAACACAGGCGGGTTGTCGTTAATGTCCTTCACCTCCACCTCCACGTGGAAAACCTGCAGCGGTCTGTCCACGATCACCTCCAGGTGGATGCTGCACTCCGCGCTCCGCCCGCACAGCTCCTCCCGGTCGACCCGAGAATTCACAAACAAAATGCCATTCTGCAGATTTACCTCCAGAAGGTCCCCGCGCTCCTTGGACGCCACCCGGAACAGGCGCGGCACCAGCTCCGCCAGCTCCAGCCCCAGGTCCTGCGCGATGCGGCCCACGAAGGTGCCGTGTTTGGCCTCCTCGGGGATCGAGTAGTGGAGCTGGCCGCTTCCTGCCTTCCAGACTGCGAGGAGCAGAAAGGAGAGCAGCGGACATCGCATTCCCACTCTGCCTTCAGTGATAAAATCCATATGAAATTCTTCCCGTTTTATTTTCATTAGGAGGTATTTTCTCGGCAGAAAAGTCAAATGTTGTGTATTTCCACGTCTTCTAATTCAATTCTTTCTTCCGCCATCATTCAGCTGCTATTGAAAAATGCAATAACAGAAGAATAGGGCTTTGTGTTTTGGCGGATGGAACTTCATGGTAAACAGCGACATCATGCGGCTCCAAAGGGTAAGATATGAATTCACACAACTGGCTTTTACTGTAGTTATTCTTTAAATATAAATAGTGCTTTACTTCATAGCAAATCCGTCTTCTATTTGCAGAATCTGTCATCTTGTCTGACTTTATTAACTTAGAGTAAGGTCTCTACTTATTCATATAGAAACACTTCCAATATTCTAAACTTTTGTGTCAATCAGTTTAGAAAATTTGAATATAATGCAAACTAGTATTGCAAATTATAGATGAGAACTATCCTACATATTTTGGATAGTGAAAATTTCCCATGAATGACTGTCATTGTACACATTATTCCATAGTGATATGAGGAAATACTGTGATTGTATTTATCCAAATATTTTAAAACATAGATTATTGACTTGCAATCCTTTGTTGAATAAATATCATACAACTTTAGGTTCTTTAGGTAATAATGGAAGGTTCAGTGAATGTTCTTTACAATATTTCTTAATTTTTTAACTTCTGTGCAGCTTATATTACTCTGTCAACTTAAGATATTTTGCCCTAGATTTTTCACTGTCTCATATTCAGTGGAAATCACATCCCCTGTACTTTACTGTTATTGTTTCTTCTGCTGTTCCAGACTAACATTATCCTTTTTCCATCGATCTCAAATTGTTATATATCTTTTTATCTTTAAGTATTTTCTCGTGTCCTGTGTTTCACATATGAGATTATTAACCAGGGTGTTCTCCAGCCCACATGTTCACCTCCCTTTCTGGTTTCTGTCCCTTTCAGACATACACGATGACTCCTAACATCAATTTTTCACATGGAAACAAATATTAATAACCCACAGGTTCAAATCTTCAAAATTCACATTATGTTTTCATGGCATAAACATTCTCTGTGTCACTGATATTGGTTTTATTATTCCTTCTCTACTAACCTTCTTCGAAATCGGCCTGCAATCCCTCTTTCTTTTCATTCACCTTATTTATTTCTTGAATACAACATTCATTGAATTGCACTAAAGATTCCAATTGCAACGTTTTAGAATCACTTCTCCGTGACTTATAACATGATCAAAAGAAAGCCTTTCAATAATTATTTTCAAATATTCTCCAAAATGAGTCATACTTTGCAAACAATATAGAAAGCTTGCATTTCCACTTTCCTAATAAAACCTTTTCTCAAGTTTTTTGTTTGTTCATTTGTTTTTTGAGACAGGGTCTCACTATTTGGTTGAGACTGATCTGGAACTCACTATATAGCTCAGGCTGATCTCGAACTCACAGTGATCCTCCTGCCTCAGCCTCCCGAGTGCTGGGATTACAGGCATGCGCCACCACACCTGGCTCAAATTGAGTTCTTAATACCACTCATCTGTAAAAATATTTCCATGACACGTTGAAGTCCAACACAAATACCAACATCACCATTAATTACCTTAATGTCATCAATAGTAGGTGATTAAATGTTTTCTCTATGTGTGTGGTAGTGGGGATTGAACCCAGGGTCTTTACAATGATCTACATCCCCACCTCATTTAATTTTGAGACAGTGTCCCACTAAATTACCCAGGGTGGACTTGACCTTGCAATTCTCCTGGTTCTACCTCCCAGAGTACCAATACATTATTTAAAGAAGAAAATTAGTCACAGTTAAGACAATGTAAATAACATAAGTGCATTCTCACCTTCCTCCATAATTTTGGCATATGTATTAAGCCTCAAAATTATAATACAAGCTTCTCATTCCATGAGATCTGTCTTAAAATAATTAACTTGAATCTATTCTGTAATCACACACTTTCTATTGCAGTTATCTAAGGAGTGAGGAATTAATTTGCTAACCAATTACAATTCCCAAAATTAGCAATTTATTTGCTTACAAGAAGATAAACATTCAAATAATATATAGAGGTCTACAGTCTTTTGGCTGAAATTCTCTATAGTGGCAAATGTTTTTCACATACTTGCATCTATGTATAAAACACCTTCTGCACTAAATTTCTACTGGTAAAAATTAACTACAGTATCATTTTTGTCTTTTCATTGCAATTCTTAGCAACTCCCCAAAGCTTAATAATGCTTCTATTTGTAATAAATGTAATAATCGTATTGTTTCTAGATAGAAAATTGTACAATATTATTGAAATCTTTTATGCATAATAATACCAAAAGGAAAAATGCTGACCTCTCCTGAGAAAATATTACATTTTTCTCCATTTTATTTTTTCAAATGATTCATCCTAGTCAAGGGGAAAGACTGTGTGGAGAAAAAATGATTAGTCACTCTTTCTGTAAAGAAAGAAAAGAAAAATTTTGTAGTGGTAATACAAACCAAATAATTAGTATTTCAAAACTGAACTGTCTTGATTTTTAAAAAATTACCTGTTGTTAACAGCAAACTAACACTGTGGCAGGAACTTATTCTCTATTTCTAGTAACTTAGGGTTTTATATATATATTCATTTATATATCATATATATAAATGAATATATATATAAATAGTATAGTAGGTTAATTTAAAAATAAGATGCATGGGAGAATTAAATAGGCAATGTGAAATAAATAGTGAACATTTTACATATCAATGTGCAATATTTATTATCTTATATATCCACTCTTTTCCCCAAAAAAGTGGAGAAACAATCTTTAATATGGGAAATCAAGAGGACTATGGTAGATTACAATACATAGCATTTCTATAAATAACTCAATATATAAACAAAAACTCAAGAGAAATTTCTCTCATAGGGCATTTAATTTTCTTCTAAATATGAAAATGAAAATCAACAATAAATTGTATGATTTTCTATCTAAATGTATGAGGATTTTCAAAATTAAATGAGTTCACAATTATTTCTCACTCGTGTAATAATTTATACATTGCAAAATACACAAATTGTAGGAAAATTAAATCAACATCCCACTAAGTGTCACTGCCAAGCCTTGGGACATGTTAATTATGTATCCACACAATGGATCACTGAAGGTAGAAACAATAAGAAAACTATGTAAGGCAAAAGTCTTGATCACCAAAATATATTGTTAAATAAGATAAGATTAAAATTGATACTAATATATTTTAAGAGGAATAAGATAGTTTATTTGTATGTGAAGAAAATATCAAGTAGAAAAATAACCAAGAAATAGAAATGTTTGAAGTATTCACACAGGAGTATCAAGTGCCTTTATGATGGATGTAGGACAATTTTAACTCCAAATTTTGTACTACTAACATTTTAAAGTTATATATATATATTTCCTATTCAATAAACACATAAAATGAAGCCACTAACACTATATTGCAAATTATAAATATCAAATTTATCTTGAGCATTTAGGTTGAACTGTTTGGACAGAATTGGAAAAAATCACTTACTGCATTAATATGACTAAAAACACACTAAATATACTGTACTAAAAAGATGATATAATATATATACAATTAAAGGAAAGGCATAATTGAAAGGTAACAAAATTTTTTCCTATGTAATAATAAGACTTTCAGAATAAGTAAGTCCCAGTATATATCTTCCAATTATATCACTATAAAATTTTCTAGACATTACAAAGTGTTTATATTAAATTATAATTTTGAAAATATCTTGTCTCATAAACATCAACTGATTACTTATATTGATAAAAACCTAATAACAAAGTGATTGGAAGTCACACTTAACTCAAAGAAATGACCTACCATAAAGCAGTTTTGAGGGTTTTTTTTTTTCTTTTCTTTTCTTAAAGACAGGATCCCAATATGTAGCACAAGCTAGCCTCATGCTCATGATCCTCCAGCCACAGTTTTCTGCTGCTGGGATTACAGGTGTATGTAACCACGATGGACTAAATTACTTTTTGTTTTGTACTGGGTGTTGAACCCAGGGGCTTTCCTCTGAGCTGCATCCCCAGTGCTTATTTTATTTTATTTTATTTGAGACACCGTCTTACTAAGTCATGAAATTGCATAGGCTGGACTAAAACTTCCTACCTTCTGCCTCAGGCTTCCAGTGTGCTGGGATTACAGGCATTCACAACCACACCCAACTGAAATAGATTTTTTTAAAAAAATAACTGAAATTTAAAGAATATAAAATACTACATATAAAAGTTGAATGAGAATCTGTTGTGATATTTATACACAATAACAATGTACAAAAATTAAAATTCAAGTTATAGAGGGAAACAAATATTTAACACTACTTAGTAAGAGGGAAAAATCTATGTGAATAAGGTTTTTGAAACTCACATGGTCAGCAGAGGTGGGACCTTGAGGTAGGCTGGGGCTGAAGGCCATGAGGTCCGTCTTGGGCGGGTCCGTCTTGGGCGGGCCCTCCCCAGAGCACACCCTCTGTCCCCTCTGCTGCGAGTACGACCAGCTCCCCACCGCGCTCGAGCAAACCAGCGTGGGCTTGCCAGGCCCGCACGCGCTCTCTGTGGGCGCCGCCGAGCAGCGCAGCGCCG